AAAAGTTTGAATATTTAGTTTTATTATTATTTTTTTTAATACTTTTTTATTAAAATAAGTATGTCTTTTCTGACTTTCATATATTTACTGACAATATTCAAAATAGTTAACTTCCTACTAAGTTATCAAGTAAATAACTAAGTACGTTATCAAAAGTAACTAGTTTTTGTACTATATCATTTACTCGTTAATTTTCCGTTGTGTTTGATATGACAATACTTGATTGCATAAACAAGTTCTAGGAGTTAAGAAGACTCTGAAATGGAGTGAATAATGAAAATATAGCATTGTGTTATAGACATATTTTTTTAGTTCATTGAAAAAAGAGATGACGACAATCATGTTAAGCTTCAAAACAAGTTTGTATAATATTAATTACGATTCGTATATCTTTATAGAAGAAAAATTAGTTTATAGAAACAACAATAACTTCTTTAAGAGATACAACTACATGAGTGTAGAAATGACTTAAGCATAAAGGGATGTAAAAATATTTATAAGCTACCTTTGAAATTTCACTGTCTATTATGAGATACTTACAAATGCTCGTAAGCTTACTACAATTAAGATGTCAAGTTTTAGGAGTTCATACTTTCTAAATTATTAAGACAGTATACAAAGTAGCATCTTATTCTAATTTTACAAATTGTAAGAATTTAAATACACTTATAAAAAAATATTTATAAACATTTAAAGAGTAATTACAAAATATTATCGCAATTTTACTGTTTCAGAATGGAGGTGGAGCTAGTACAGATAGCATGGGGCGTGCAAGCGGGTGTGTATTATCTTAACCTAGTTTGCTTATTTTCTCACTAATGGTTTTACATTCATAATCGTAACTTTACTTTACATCTTCTGTTGTTAACTATAAAAATTTTATTATATAATGTGCACAAGAAAACTGTTATACTTTCTCAGAGCCTTATTAAGCGTGCTAGATATAAGTTGAAACAGCTTAGCTTAGATTATCTGAAATATGATAAGCTCTCTCTTTTACTGAGATGAGTCATCTTCAATAACTTTAATTTTTATACGACTGACGAATTTTATTTTAATAATATAACTCTTGTAAAATGCTATTGATTTGTAATAGATATGAACGGTGTGGTAAGAAATTTTTNGAGTAATCCAGTCAAGATGTGAACAAATGATACGCTTCTCTGTACGTAAGACAATTTAAAATTCCAACTAAATGAAACAAATGAGAAAAATGTACATTATGTGTAGTGGGTGTAAGCAGAGTGGAGATAATCAGATTAAATTCCTGATGTTTTTTGCTTTTGTGAAGAGAGTACAATTTTCTATTTTATTTCATACATTATATTCTTAAACATGTATATGTAAAAGATATGAACGGTGTGGTAAGAAATTTTTATTAAAACTTTAATAAATACAGGAACTTCAAAGAAGCGAATCTACTTCAACTTACTTTCAAAAGCAATGCTTAAATTAATATTCCAAATTTTATCATGTTTATCAAGTAAAATATAAAAACTTAAACTTATTAGTAATCTTAACAATGAGAAAATTATGATACTTTTAATAACTAATTCAAATACAAGCTTCTTGATGAAAGCAATTTTTTTTTGCAATTCGTTTTATTACTATGCAAACCGTAATGACATTTAAGTATTACTAATAAAGTAAAAGAGTTATTTTTGAATTCAGTACAGTGTCTACTGCTGTGTCAACCTCTTTAGTCCTTGTTGACGAAAGCATTATGAATATAGTACCAACATAAGAGTTTAAGGCGTTATTAAAAATTATAAAGTCAAGTACTACGTTTTTATTACGAAAAAGTTGTTAAAAGTATTGTTGAGGAGCTACTGTTTACTTACCACAACCAAAAGAAAAAATTACGCAAACTTGAGAATCTTATTCTTACAATACCTCTGTTTTAATGTTTTTCCTTTACTGATTTATTCTATGATTTTTACTATAAATCAGAACTATATCGCCTCAACATAATTAATTTTTAGTTAGAAACAATTGTTTGTGAGAAGTTAAGGAAGATAACTATTCACAAAGCCATCTGCCCCAAAATTAATCTGCGTACTATTGTGCTTTTTTGCAGTGTTTCCTAAAATGAAGTATTTGTAAATTATAATCTTCAAACTGAATTTCTGCTGACAAAGTTTCTAGCAAATAATGGCTTAGTGATCTCAGGGATCATCATTTTTATTTAGTCAAAGCTGTTGACAAGACTTTAACTGTATGGAGTAGATTATTTTATATAATATAAAGTAATGGATATAAATAATCAAATTGAACGCTACCATGCACCACCCATGTGAGACGTGGTTGGAAGGTTGAACTACCGTGACTTTCACTGAGCTTAAAGCTTTTCTTGTCATTCAAAATTTACTGTTTTAAAGTTTTGAGGTAACTTATGACTCATACCCTTAAGGTTAGCAAAGTTATCACAATAAATTATCAAAGGAGCTCCTCATCTTGATATAATTGCTTCAACGCCATTATGGAAGAGTTGGTACTAAAAGAATGCGTGACCTTAGTATGCACCACTCGAGTGGTCATACAAGTAAAAGTTCTCTGTACCGTTTTTCTTGATGCGTTCCTACTTTTATTTGCAATTATGAATAATATCTGAAAGTTTTCTTTGGGTAATGAAAATTTCTAATAAGCTATTGAAGCAAGAGCTTTATGTCTAGTGGTACAAAGTACGTAAAATCTGCCTTTTTTGTTAAAGTTCAAAAAATTACTAAGTACGGTTGGTTCTAAAATTTTTTAGCTTTTTAAATTAACGAAACAAATGTGGTAATTGCTTGCATTCCTGATTTCTAAGTTTTTTATTTGACTTAATTTCACTCTTTGATACATTTGGCATAATGATTCGAGATTGTATGTGTAGGGGGTTGAAAAACCTACAGGATCAAAAACGGATATAATTACTAACAAGAATTTGCATCCGTAGAGACTATGTATCTTACTACGTAACAAAAACGCTTTTGTTCACCAATGGAGGGCTTATGATTGCTTACATCGGATCTCAATACCTGTAAAACGAAGAGATAATTGATTGGCTAATCATGCATGATCCAAATTGCGTGTGCGTTAATTTTGATTACGTGCAAAACTCGATTTAATCATTAACTATCATGTTGAGCTATAACTAATCATCCATACAGTATTTTTCAATTATACCATAATGCATGTCTGGATATTAAAGTATAAGCCCTTTTACATTTTTGTTGTTAACGTATATAGCTGTCCAAGAAGATGATTTTGTTGCAATCAGTAATGACGTCACCGCACGTTCTATTACTTTACCTGACTTACCATCTTCTTGACACAAAAACCTCTGAGCGTTGTGATGTTCCTTTTATATTTTATTTTCCTAAAAAGTATTCTTCAAATCAGCTATTATTACTGAATACTAGTGCATAAAACGCTTTAAAACACCAATTAATACTTTTAGTAATTTACAACCAAAAACAAAAAAAAAAAAATTTGAAAGATGCTCCAGACCTTTTTACAGCTGTATAAAATAGAAGATGTACTTTTCCGAGCTTATAACTATTCTGAGCCTTAAAATAGGATAAGTACAAGGATTACTTAATAGTTTTGGATTTCAGTACTTTTTCAACAAAGTTGTTTCTAACCAGTGAATGGATTTCTTAAATATATATTCATGTGTGATTTTAATCTTAATTGACTTTTTTTTAAAAGTTTGAATCTTGAAAGTAATGTTATTCGTCCATCATAAAAAAGTTTATTTTTATCTTTTCATATAATTTAACTGTCCATTCACCACTATTATTTTAGTAGGTGTAATCGAATATTTCAACTAAGCGCCTACCATTGTCCGTTTTAGTTTTTCTTGTTCCCAGCACTTCAAAACTAAAATATGCCTTTACTAGCCTATTAAATTTATGATACTTTTCTCCAAAAGTATAATCACTACTGCACCTATTAATTTTTGAAAACTAAATTCTCTTGCCAATATTAAATAACAATGACTTTGCCATAATAGTGAATCAGGTGCATCGTAATATAAATAACGTTTTTGCCTGTTTTTTATTACAATATTTTAATAATTCAATACTTCTTTTCTGCATAAGTAGTGCAAGATCGTTTATTATCAAGATATTTTTATGATTATGGGTTATTAAGTTTCTATTCATTTTTAACTTACCTTTTCATTGGCTAATTGTAATAAATTTTGGTTAATACGTCCTTTCACTGTATTTGACGAGATTTGAGCTCCAATTTCCTGGACAATATGTCAATTCATTATTGAAATATTAAGATTTTTATCTAAAAGCGCATCAATAAATTTGCATCCTTTTTTGCCTATCATACAAATGGTCATAATTTTCGACAATGATACAAAATCTAGTAAACTGTATTGCCTTATGTAACTGTGTCTTAGGTTTTTTAGTTTTCAGAATTACTTTAAATTCCTTGCAAGCCTTATAAAGATGTAGTTTATGCTTCATAGTTGATGCCTCAGTATGTAGTAAAACATGATGTTTTTACTACCATACTTTACAATTTTTTTGTTTACATTTTTTGTACATACAGTCCAGCATAGTAGTAAATAATATTACTTAGTACAAAAAATATTTGAACATTCTGTGTCATTGTGGTAAATGCCTTCATTTATCATTCAATAATATCACCTATCATAAAAGTGGAGAACAATTAAGCGCACTGGATTATTGGGATAAAGGCACTCGTTTATTAATAAAGCAAAATAATGTGTTAATTGCGTTAAGCTTGTCATTTTTAGATAAGTAAAAAAAAAAATTGTTTATAACCTGACAATTATGTTTTTGTTTTTATAGTTGAACAAATGATCAACTGCATTTAAAAAGCTTATCTTTCTTTCAGAGAGGAAAAGCGAGAAAAGTAATGCGCGCAGCTCTTTTCCATATGAGCAGTGCACAACTATAGCTATAGATATATAGCCCGTTGTCTGCATATACATATAGGTTTAGCTTCTTCTCTCTCCATCACCGATGCACACATTTGGATTCTCATGTCTCTCTCACTCATCTCCCCTTACCTCTCCTTGCAAGCCGAGCCTACAAGCCGCCATCCATATGCATGTAGAATAGAAAACGTGTGCATGGTTCCTCTGCTGGTCACGATGGATTGGCGCTCAAATCAGCGCCGAAACATCGGCACACTCGTTAACATAGGCACTGGCAATCTCCCTACTTATCTCTGGTATGTATTTTTTGCTCCATTCTTTAACGTAAGTTATGTGTATATTTTTCGTTTTTGCATTTAAATCTTTTCTAATCTTCCTTTTCGAACGATCAATTTGATTCAACTTCAATAACACTTGTGGCTAAAGTGGTTTGGGCTTTATTTTATAAAAAATTGTTATTTCTAACCAGATCTAATTAATAAACTAGAACTTTCTTTGCGAAAAAAATGTAATCGTACATTATTGAACTTGATTACTTTTGAAGTATATAATTTCGTGGATTTGCACTTAATAAAATACTTGAATAATTTAGGGCTTTGATTGCATTACATTCATTTAAAAAATAAATAGCAAGGTCTATGAATCTTAGCTTATAATATTTTATGTGCAATAAATCTTTACTGCAAACAAAAGTTATCAATAAAATTATTTGCAAGTTACCCAATCCCATTTCTAACGGTTTCATGATATCAGAAGTACTATTGCCTATAGAAAACAAATTTAAAGTTAACGCCCATTATAAAGTTATTTCCCTTACATAACCCTTTAAATTCCATCAATTAAACTATAACAGACGCTAGAATCGTTAACTAACAAACTTA